TTCCTAGTCTGTCTCAGTCTATAAGCTGGGCTGTTACCTGTGCACCAGGTGCATCTCGCTGGGTTTTAAACACCAGAGGCTCAGCCTCAAAACTCACATCTACATGTCACCACAGTAGGACAAACTGACAGACAGGTTTGTCTGAGAGGAACATACTGGTAGGTAAATTCATGTTGTTCTTTGCCCCTTTTATAACCCAGCAGACTTAGTTTTCTGGGGGACTTAGCAGTGATAGTTCTAGGCACTTTTTCTTAAGGGCTGGTTCCTCAAGGCCAGGATGAAACAGTGATACCAAACCCTGCAACTCCTGGGAAATACCACTGACATTTAGAAGAGAGTATGATTGTGAACAGTTAGCCAGAGGTTTTGTTTTCTATTCTCTGTTTGGAAATACAGTTAATCTTTATCGGTGAGTAAATAAAAATGATTTTTCTTTGCCTTATCAAGGATCTATGATATGATAGTTTCTCTACCTCCTTTGCATAGACTAATATATATTATGTGTATATCGTATATTTACTTGCACTTGACCTTGAGCCCTGTTTGCCTGCCAGTGTTTCTCTTTTACCTCTTGCCTCCGTGTTTCTTCCAAGCTGAGAACCCAGGTACCCATTTGGGGGCACAGCTTTAGTGTTTGATTTCGATCATTGCCAAAGTGAATGAGCATTTCCTTCTCTTCTTCTGTGAGGCAGTTCAATTGTTCTTCCAAAGAGGAATCTTGAATAACATGAGTGTGCTACCACCTCCTTCCTCTCCAGTGGAAATTCAGATGTAGTTCTAATCACTGTGCCATGGGCAGCTTTCTTATTCAAGCAGCTAAAGGAGCATTCCTCCTTTGGCCCAATCCCACCACATCTGTCTGATTAGTCGCGCGTTAGGGAGGCAAGCATGCAGAAAGAGGTGAGTGTAAAGGGCACTTACTAATCACAAGGAATCTCTCCTGAGAGCATAGACTCCATAAATGAAATAGACCTTGAACTGTAGGTGGAAATAGGGAACAAGCCCAGGGAGCTTGCCAGAAACCCAGGAATCACGCTTTGGAGCTCCAAACCCAAGCAAGTTCACACATAGACATTAAACCACTCGGTCCAACTTTGAGTACTATCCCTTAATAAGTCTTTATGTCAGTAATTCGGAAGGAAGGTTGGGCAATCTACTTCTGTAGTGATACTGCCTCAGAAACCCAAGGAGGGGTCGCTATAAGTTGGGATCGACTCTACGGCAGTGAGTTTGGGATTTTTTTGGTTTATGTCAATGATAGGAGTGCTGGTAGTATAGTGCCTAGGACATTTGACTGCTAACCAGAAGGTTAACGATTCAAACTCACCAGCCACTCTGCTGAAGGAAGACCGGGCAATCTACTTCCGTAAAGATTTACCACCTCGGAAACCCAAAGAGGGTCAGTATGAGTAGGAATTGACTCAGTGACAGTGAGTTTTTTGGGTTTTTTTTCTTTAATGTCAATAGTAAAGGAGCTCTGGTGGCGTAGTGGTAAGGCATTTGGCTGCTAAACAGAAGGTTGGCACTTCATATCTATCAGTTCCTCCATGAGAGTAAAAAGAGACAGTCTACTTCCATAAAGATTTACAGCGTTGGAACCCAGCGGGGTTCTCTATGAGTCGGAATTGATTCAACAGCAGTGGATTTGAGTTTGGGCATGTCAGTAATACAGGAGAAAGTCCTGGTGGTCTGCTGTCATGGTGATTACAGCCAGTCTGTAAAGATTGCCCCCATGGAGGCAGTTCTGCTCAGTCACATTGGGTCACTATGAGTCAACCCAGACCCAGAGGCTCAGCAAAGCCGAGAGATCTCCTAAGAAATCATCCCTTGAAAACCCTAGGGAAAACCGTTCTATTCTGATACATATGGGATCACCATGACTTAGAATTAACTCAATAGCAATGGATTTGTTTCTTTTTTATGTCAATTGGATAATAGTAATGATAGCTATATTAAGCTTCCATGTTCTAGGCACTGTGCTAGGCACTTATATAATCTTCATTATAAATTTAGATATTAGTCCTATATTCTCAATTTATAAATGAGGAAATGGAGTGTTTGAGAAGAGATCAAATAACTTGTCCAAGTAAACAGAGCTAGAAAATGATAGAGCCAGTAGTTCCAGCTTAGTCTGTCTGCCTCCAGTGCCCTGCGAACCATTAGGCTTTATTACTATTAAAAATTATAACCTATGGTGACTTCATAGAGCTCTGGTGGTATAGTGCCTAAGGCAGTTGACTGCTGACCAGAAGGCTGGTGGTTCAAACCCACCAGCCACTCTCCTTGGAAGGGAGATTGGGCAGTCTACTTCCATAGTGATACCACCTTGAGAGGGGTCACTATGAGTTGGCTTCTCTAGGAGCTTTGGTGGCACAGTGGTTAAAGCGTGTGGCTGCTAACCAACTCTGGCATTGAGAGTTGAATTATGTTCACTTCTTGGAGCCCTGTTGACACAACCAATTAAGCACTTAGCTGCTAACCAAAAATTTGGTGGTTCATACCTACATAACAACTTTGGGAGAAAGACCGGGCAATCTGGTTCCATAAAGATTCCAGCCAAGAGAACTCTACGGAACAGTTCTACTCTGACACGTGGGGTTGCTGAGTCGTAATTGACTGAGCTGCACCTAACAACCACACAACATGGTGACTTCAGATGGCCATGTTCAACTCAGCTCTTATTCTTGACTAGCTAGTAGATGAAAACCACTCTCCTAGACTTATGAAGTATAGCAGGATCGACGCAACATACTTCTTTCTCTTCAAATTATAAAACCTAGCAGGTAGAGAACAGTCATTGGTAAACATGTATGTTCTACAGATCAAGTTAGATTGAGGGTAAGGATTGGAGCCAAAAGGAGAGTTCTGAGGAGGCGAAAGGCTGAGAACGGTGAACTAAGAGTAATAGCACATAGCCATGACTAATCCCAGTTTCATATTGCATTGAGGGGGGCTCATTGATATTTCCTGAAAAGTCCTTTTTATAGAGGATTTGCAATTGGTGGGGTGGCAGGTCTTGAAGTTGCCTGAATGATAGGCTCTCAGCTTTCTCTCCAAAACCTGTAGGCACTTCTCTATAAAGTTTGGTTGTCCATGTACAGAGGTAAGGATTTCTGGGATCCCAAGAGGAGGAAACAGCAATTGCTTCCATAGAAACATCTTAAGCAGCTGTGAATCAGTGAACTATAACTTTCCCATGGTAAAGGTCATTAAGGGTGATTCCCATTAAGTGTTGTTTGTACTTGGCACTTCTTAGGGGCCTTTTAGCTTAAGGCGCTGGTGATTTTCAGTAGATCTGGATGCTAGAAGCTGGATGCTACAGAGAATAAAAGTCTAACCACGCTGGGTTGTTTTGATCCAATAGCATCACTTTGTTGTACAGGTATAATAATTATGTTTTCACCTTGTGTTACAGATTCCTTCTACAATCAGGTCTATTCATCAGGATAAAATCCTAGCACTTAGACAGCAGACACAATTCTTGTGGGAGGCTTATTTTTCTTCAGTTGAGAAGATTGTATTAACTACACTAGAGGTAAGTGAGACCACTTGGCTCTTGGTCATGGATAATGGTCCTTTGTACACTTCTCTAGGAGCCTTGGTGGCACAGTGGTTAAAGCATGTAGCTGCTAACCAAAAGGTCAGTGGTTCCAACCACCAGCCTTTCCATGGGAGAAAGATTTACAGCCTTGGAAACTCTATGGGGCAGGTCTACTCTGTCCTACAGGGTCACCACGAGTCAGAATCGACTTGATGGCAGTACATTTGATGGGTGAATACAGTTTTCTTGGCCTTCTGCTTGCTCTTGATGTGATGTGTGATTGGTCAAATGGGGCAGAAATAAATTTTCTGTGTTTAGTTAGATATGCCAATGAACCCCCTTTCACCTGCTTTTTCCATGTTTAAGCAAATACCTCCATTCCTGTCAAACTCCACAGAGGAAAGCTGACATGGAGGATAATTACCATCTTCTGACACAGAGGTTGGCTCTGTCTTGCTTCATTTCAGGGATATGTGGCTAATGACTGTCTTCCTGTCATTCATACTTGATGGCATTCTTTGAAGACATATTTCTGGAGCCCATTTAGAGAAGAGATGGTGACCAAGTAGGGGAAAGTCCTCTACCATTCTAAAAATATGAAGTTTATTGGATACCATAGTCCAATGGCATTGGAATGACAGCAAAATTAATTCTCAAGACATATGCAACTCAACCAGGATCAACCCAACCCAATGTCAAAATGTGTTAAAAGGAAAATCATGATTATACCTATGTGGTACAGAAAGTGTTAAACTTTATGAAAGTAGGAAATCTTTTAGGCAGATGGATGCCATCCTCAAGTTGCTTTTTTTAAGGCAGAAGGGAAAAAAGCAAGGGAAGCATGGATATGATTAAAACCTTTGGAAGTAGAGCAGATAGTGATGGCCTTAGGCTACACTGAAGTAGCACAAAGAGCTAAGAAAAGATTGAGGAAACTGCACATTCATGACTTATAGGCTTGCAGGAGAGAGAGAGCAGAGAACTGCTGGTGAGGCACAGCATGGAGTGATTTTGAGGGTTCCCATAATGAGGTGGGGGCCTGACTTCCAGAGTATTTATATTGGAAAAGTGCTCTAAAAGCTAAGGTGAATTGGAGCATGCACTGAAACGTCGGAGTAATGCCAAGAAAATTGGTCACCCTCTTCTGTCCACATCTCTGTTTTCTTGCCTTCTTGAGTATTACAGCCAGGGCAGGTTATGCCCCTGGTACACTAGGGCATGTATCAACTCTGCCCAGTTTGACAGGTGGTGTAGTGGTTGAAGCATTCAGCTGCCAACCAAAAGGTTGGCAGTTTGAACCTATCATCCACCCTGTAGGAGAAAGATGAGACAGTCTGCTTCCAGAAAGATTTATGGTATTGGAAACCCTATAGGACAGTTCTGGTTTGTCCTATAGGGTCACTGAGTCAGAACCGACTTGATGACAGTGGGTTTGGGTGGGTTAAACCCATCTTGAGTTCCTGCTGTCACACTCAAGCATAGTGCAGTCATAGGGTCCTCTTATGCAAGATGTACCTTTATTTCATTTTGGAAGTAGGTAACAAAGCTATTGAGGACCCAGTCCCATCCCCATGAGGGTGATAAAGCCAAAATAACTTCCAAGGGCTGACTTATTTTTTTTTATTGCAAGCATATGTCTCTTATTCCCCCAAAAGCACTCTCTTCAATTCAAACTCATCAAGTTTTCATTTCTGTACATAGCAGCAGATTTGAATATTTAATAGCATCTACCTGGCTCTTTTCTTCGATCCTGTACTGCATGGAAGATAACAGGACCAGATCTTTCCTAAGCCCTTCTAAGGAAAGTTGAATGTTAATTTTCTTTCTTTCTTTTTTTCATTCTGGAGTGGACAGTCTTATTGAGAAAGAAGTACATGTTCATTTCAGAAAATAATGGAAGTTACTCAGAGCATAAAAGAAGATAACCAACACGTAAAAACCACTACTGACATATGTATACACAGAAATATTAATTCATCTATACAAATTATGTTTACTTTGTAATTAAAAAAGGACTCTATAATGCTTTATAACCTGCTTTTTCTGCTTAATAATATATTGTTAATATTTTATCATGTTACTATATTTTCCCTACCATTATTTTCATGACTATATAATATTCTAGTGCTAAGGCACTTGACTGCTAACCAGAAGGCTGGCGGTTCAACTCTACCAGCCACTCCTCAGAAGGAAGGTTGGGCAGTCTACTTCTGTAGTGATATGCCTCGGAAACTCAAGGAGGGGTCGCTATGAGTCGGGTCCGACTCCATGGCACGTAACAACAACAACAACAACAACAACATATAGTATTCTATTTATGATAGAATTGAATTCTCTCAATTAATCTCTAATTTGGAGATGTTGCAGTTGTTCTGCATTGAAACAAACAGCCTCAGAGCCAAATTGTGATGGATGTCAAAGGTTATTTTCTTAGGATAAATTTCTTAGAATTCTAAGGTTTCTAACAGGAATTTTCAATTTTCCTGCAATAGGATTGAACTTTCATATACCCACTAACTTATATAAGAGAATCCATTTTGTTTATTTATTTATTTTTTCACTTGCACTAATATTGGACATTATCATTTTTTAAAAGGATAACATTGTTTTCTCAAGCAACTTGCAAAGAAAGAAATAGAGTTAGTCATGATGTGTTGTCTCATTTGTCGGGCTAATTTTTAAAAGCTTATTGTATTAAAAATATTAACCCTTTGATGATTTTGTTGCAAATATTTTTCTTCAATTAGTGGTATGCCTTTCGATTTTATTTATGATAAAACCAGCCTTTCTTCTGTGGTTTTTCCATTTGCTATTGTTCAGAACGAATTTTTCCACTCATAATTTTATACACACACAAACACATCTATACACATACATACATACATACACACACACAGATATAAATAAGAGTTATTGCCACCTGGAAGGAATGAGTCACTGAGCCTGGGGGCTCAGGACCATAGACTCGGGGAGCACACCATGGTCATTTGACATAACACAGTCAGCAAAGACAATGTTCTACATGCTACTTTGGTGACTAGTGACAGGGTTTTACAAGCTTGTGAGCAGCCATCTAAGGTGTAATTATTGGTCTGTGCCCTTCTGGAGAAAAGAAGAGTGAAGAAAATCAAAGACACAAGGAAACAATTAATCTGTAGGACCAGTGGACCTGTGAACCCCAGCTTCGTGACTGAGGCCAGAAGAACTGGATGGTGCCCAGCTACCACTGCTGACTGCTCCGAAAGGGATCACAGTAGGAGGTCTGAGACAGAGTAGGAGAAAAATGTGGCACAAAACTAAAATCATGAAAAAAAGACCAGGCTTACTGCTCTGATGAAGACTGGTGGAACCGCGAGACTGTGACCTTTACATACCCTTCAAGCCAGCAACTGAACTCAACCCCTGAGGCTCAACTTGCAGCTGAACAATAGGCCAATAATACCACTCCTTACAACACATCCAAAATACGTGAGACAAAGTCTTCCCATCCTTGCTTCTGTGGAGCATCTGGCTGTATTTCTTCCATGACAGATTTGTTCATTCCTCTGGCAGTGCATGGTATATTTAGTATTCTTTGCCAACACCATAACTCAAAAGTGTCAATTCTTCTGTAGTCTTCCTTATTCATTGTCCAGCTTTCACATGCATATGACCCGTGACTTGGGCTATGTAAGATCATACAATATTTGTCCTTTTGTGACTGACTTAATCACTAAGGAAAATGTTTTCAAGGTCCATCCATGTTGTGCATCTATTAGGACTTCCATCTTTTTGTGGCAGAATAATACTCCAATTGTATGTATGAATGTACAACAATTTATTTTATATATAGTCTTTGTTAAAGAGCTCTGGTGGCTTAGTGCCTAAGGCATTTCACTGCTAACCAGAAGGCTGGCGGTTCAAACCTACCAGCCACTCCTCGGAAGGAAGGTTGAGTAATCTACTTTTGTAGTGATACTGTCTCGGAAACCCAAGGATGGGTCGCTTTGAGTCAGATCCAACTCCACGGCAGTGGTTGCATTGTGTTGGTCTTTGTTAAAAATCTAATTTTAGGGAGGCAAATTATATAATTTAAGTTATACTTTCCTCACTGTTTCTAAATGCCACTTTTTATGCATTTTTGAGTCTATTTCTGAACTTTTAACGTTGTCCTGTTAGTTTTCTACTCTTATGTCCAAACCCCATGTTATAATTTCTTTCAGTTTAATATATTATCACATGGCAGACCTGTATTTACTTAACCAATGTGCTATTGTTGACAATGAAGGCTGCTTCTGATTATTTATTTTGTATAGATAACTATGCCTTTATCCAAGCAATGACTTTCGACATGTGTCTTAGACTACAGTTCTGACTTTTCATTATGAGAGAGTCCCTGCAGTGGGATTACTCAGCCAAAGAGTCTAAGCATGTATAAGACTCATGAGATATATTGCCAAATTACTCTTCCAAAAGGTGGTATCAATCTAGACATTGGAAAGCTGTCTAGGGAAGACCCTCTCTTGCAGCACTCTTGTCAACCTTAAGGATCATAATTAAAACACACACATGGACAGCATTGCTAATATGCCAGATAAAAGATCATATCTCATTAATTACATTTCTTTTGAGTATAGTTTATTGCATAGATCTGGTCTCTCCTCTATTAAGTTAGCAGTGCTCAATTATCCTGTAATAACAGTTGGATGTGTTATAGTCATCAGAATAGGATCGTTAGCCAAGCCGTTTTCATTGCTGAGCCTGGAAAGGTCTTCTTCCCCATGGATTTAAGCCATGTAGTTCTTTAGTAACACAGTTGTTTATAAAATACTACAAACCACATACTTGATTCAAATTTATAGCAACTGTCAAATTTTCTATAGTTCTGAGATTGGATTGTAACAATTTGACTTCTCAACCAAATTACATGAGCGGTACCATCCAATTTTCCATCTTAATTCAAAACTCAGATTTCCCTGGAATTCAGTGCAAACAGAAAAGTAGAAAAAGCCATC